GAGAGAGAGAGAGAGAGAGAGAGAGAGAGAGAGAGAGAGAGAGAGACTGTTGGATGTAATGATGGCAGGGGGATACACTCTGAACATCCCTGCTCTCATTTGATTTCCTGCTACAATGTTGGGCACTTGCCCTTTCCGCTTCCATATATATATATATATATATATATATATATATATTCATTCTTCTTCCCTTTCATCCACTCCTGTCTCTCTCTGTCTTCACTCAGACCTGCATGTAGTGGACCGCAGGAAGCTGCTGGAAGCTGCCGGGTCGCTGAGAGCAGCTGTGTTTGCTGCGAAGCGTCTGCTGGCTGATGCAGCGTTTGTTTTACATTAGCGGCCTGCAGGTCAAACTGCAGCTGGCTGCATCTCAGCGTGGAGACCAACCCTGGGGAGAGAGTGTCTGTGTGTGAGAGAGTGTGAGTGTGAACCAACCCGTCCCCATGGTTGTAGCCTTTCCTAAGCGGGCTAAGTCTGGTGGCTAACCCTCAGCGCCTCTGCGTTTGGCAGCATGACTGCAGCAAGATTAATCCATTCCACACTCCATCAGTCACTAGGCACAGGTTATTAGTGCTGGGGCAGAGCGGAGCACACAAACACACACACTCATACATACACGGGCCCTTCACCCTTGCGACTTCGCCTTCTACCTCGTCCCCAAAGTTTGCAAAGGTGGCCTTGGTGTTGAGAGGCCATTTGTCAAAACCCAGCCAGAGTCTCCACTTGGCTCCTTTTAATAAGGCTACCTGGGCCCTGGGATTACACACACACACACAGGGCGTACTTTCTGCTTTGCACATACTCACACAGCTCTGAGTGTCAGGTGGTGCGTCCCGCGGGGCTTATAAAAGTCCCATTAACATGGCCCTCCTCATTGGTTCTGACAGGTTGATCAATTAGACCCCTCCCCCCGCTGACCCTGGGGCTGCTCTGACTCAGAGGTCAGACACGATGGATCGCTAGACCTACACACATACACACATCCATCTCTCTCTCTCTCTCTCTCTCTCTCTCTCCCTCCCTCTTTCTCCCTCTCTTTTCCCTTTTTCTCTCTCCCTCCTGTTATCTCTGGGCGGGTCACCGTGCAGCTTGTTCGTCCAGCGTCGGAGCCGATATCCCAGGGTGCAGCTGAGCTTTACCTGAGACATGTTTCAATCTAATCTCTGCTCTTAACACGACCAAGAACACGTACACAGTGCTCGCCCTGCAGAGACACATCTGCCTGTGTTTATTGTGCTATTCTCCTGCAGACCATAGAAACGTGGTGTAGTAGTTTACATTTTTGGAAAGTTTAGAAGAAGCTGCAGGATTTCCTTGAAATCTACTCTGCTTATTAACTTCCGAGAGGATGAATCCTCATATTTTAGTTTTTTACACAGGAAATGGTAAGACTTGATGGGCAGATTATCAGGAAGTTTACTGACCACATTAATCTCCTCATAGTCTGAATTTATATCCTCTAGCGCCATCTCGGTACGAACTGGCAAGACTTTAAGACTGTTGATCTTGACCTTAGTGATCATTAAGTAACTTAATCTTCAATATATTGTTGAGTCTTTAACATGCAGCCTATAGCGGGTGCAGGCTACATTTTGGGACCTTTTGTATAACATAAGACTTTAAAGCTTGTAACGATGTTTGACGGGGAGATCTTTCAGTTTCTGGCCCAAGAAATGAACACAGTCCTTTACAGGTGAAGTTACACAGACGGACAGTATCAGCCTCATCTCTCCAGCTGTTTGTTGGAGCCTCTGCTCGGCTGGGCTTCAGGTGTACGTTGAATGAGACGCAACCAGAGGTGGCTGAGCGTCTGCACCGTGTTTGGTAAACAGTCTGCTCTGCACAGGGTAAATGAAGGTACCGGTGTGTGTTCAGGTGCACAAACAGAGGAAGAGAGCGGTTGACCTGAGCTTGCTGAGCAGAAAGAGAGGAATAAAAAGCATTTGTAGAGTCAGTCGGTGAATAAACAGCAGGTCAGAAGGAGAATAAAGGACAGGATTGAGAATCTGTAGCCCAAACAAAATGGTCACTACTGTTTGATTTATCACAAAGTATCAAGCAGCTCTGGTTACATTGGTTGCAAGTATGATCAATATGTTAAGATTCAACAGTAAGTCAGTAAACAAGATTATTCTATGGTTTCATTGATTCAACTGTTTGGTCTATAAAATGACAGTCTCCAGGGTCTTCAGTTTATAATTATTTAAAACTGACAAAAAGAATAAAATCGTCTCACTGGAGAAGCTGGAACGAAGGGAAACATTTTTCTGATCAACTATTGTAGCAAAAGTTTCCGTTGTACTGTTCTTAACAATTAATTTGGAAACAAACATAATTTGGTAAAGCAATAACATGTTTATGATCATATCCGTACAATTACAATACACAAGACAATAAAATATATTCATTTATTGCGCTGCCCCTTTAAGGAGGGTTCAAGATGTTTTCAGGGTCTGTGACACAAAACCGTCAGAGAAACCACCGATTCAGTCAGCTGTAAGAAAATTGTTAAAATGATCCAGTAAGTGAGGGAGGAGTCGGATTAAAAGTGTGTGTGTGTGTGTGTGTGTGTGTGTGTGTGTGTGTGTGTGTGTGTGTGTGTGTGTGTGTGTGTGTGTGTGAGATTAGGGGGTATCATAGCCTCGTGTCTAGGGACCCAGAGAGGGTATTTCGGGGGAGCAGAGGGTTAGGAGCGGTGTCACGCCCAGAGAGACGCTGCGCCGCCGTGCTAATGATGTCCAGCGGCCTAATTGAATATCGACGTTCTGCACACGGGGGCTAAATGGCTTCTGTCTGCTTCACCGCGGGGGGCGGGCCGGGCTGCAGATTTTTTTTAACCTATTACCACAGTTTAATTCCTTCTCTTTTTTTTTTTTTTTTTTTTTTGAGGGGGTGGGTCGTTAAATGTCCCCGTTACGATGGTTACCGGCTTTTTGTCCTTTTGATGCAGTTTGGTCTAGTTTTCAGGATTTTGAGTAATTATAGTTTCTCACAGTCTGTGTTCGTTAAAGTTTGATGATGTTTTAAACACCTCGTCATCCAATGTTGACGCACAATCGTACCACAAACGCATGATCGCGTTATCTTCCCTCGTTGTTTACTCCTCTTGATCTTTATTTCCTCTCTGATCGTCGCTTCCTTCATCCTTTTTATTCTCCGTTTCTCTTACTTCTGTTTCCTTGACTGTGTTTTACTTCCCACTGTGCCCGCCTCAAGACGCTTTTCATTTTGTTGCCACAGCGACGCTTTCCAGATGGCGAGTGTCAAGGCGAGACTGGGCTCCGAATGTAGTCTGAACACACACACACACACACACACACACACACGCTGGTCTACAGATACACACACTCTGAGAACAGACTGAGACACTGGCAGCGTACATTCTGTTCAACACTCGCATCCTACTCAGATGCTGGTGGACGTGCACTGCCCACACACACGCACGCACACACACACACACACACAGCAGTAGCCTACAGTATAATAAAACCTGTGTCACAGCCACATAGGAAACAATCTCTCCTTTATGTGACCGGGATGTCATTAATCTTGGCGGAGGTTAACAAATGCACTTGCATGGAAGGTATATTTCATAGGCAGACAGCCGACAATGGGGCCATTGTGGCGTCGAGCTGCAGCGCCGCGCTCTGCATTCAGTCAGGACCTTTTTGGTTGGCTGCGGATCCACGGCTGATGTCGGGGGTTATGTTTCATCTCCCAGATGAATGTGTTTATGCGGGAGAAAACATGTGAAACACGGTCGCGAAATCGACGCTCCAGCTATTTATTTGTTTTTGCTGCCTGAAACCACGATTTATTTTTCTGAGTCGGGGGGGGGGGGGATAAATGCATTTGGCCATTTTTCAAAGTTTTGTCTTGTTGCTATTAGTCAAAAGTAGAGCCAGACAAATCCCCTGTCCGTGCTTTCTGTGTGCAGCCGACCGACCAGGCCAACTCGGCTCTGATTCACCGCTCTCTAGGTTTCTCCACTCCGCCGCCGTTGCAGCAGCGCTATTTCCATCCATGAAGTGGCGAGTCTTCCCAGTAATCCATTAGACTTCCATTAGCTCCGATTTGTGTGATTAGTTCTAATTAATCAGTTGAGTCTGTGGCCTTCACTCTCCCGTGCGCTCCTCACATTTCATTTTTAACCTCATTTCTCAGCTCTCCACCGAGCGAGAGAACGAGGCAACGACTGAGCGAGCAAATCAAAGAGCGAGCTTCGGATTCTGCCGCCGCCTCTTTTTTTTTTTTGACGGAGCGCACAAACACTCGATACTGCTGGAGCACCAGACCCCAACCAGACTGCATTATAGTGCTCATTTCTCTCGCCATGCTGAATTAATGAGATTTTTTTTTGGGGGGGGGGTGTCTTACTTAGAGAACAGATACTTTACGAGCTTGGTTGGGTTTTAAAACATCTCTGGTTAGCCCCACTCGGCCCTCCTGTATTGATTAGCACCGGAGCGTCCATCCCTCACTGTAACAAAGCCTATTGATGTTTGTGGAGCCCTGATTTCCCCTCGGTCAAATACCGTACGCAGCCCCATCGCTAAGTGACTGGAGGCTGCTCCGAACTCAAAGTAACCTGGGAACAAGCGAGCACAAATCATCTTTTCATCAGCGGCTCTTCTGCTGCTCTGTGCTGCAAGAACTCACATTTTAAAGTTAAAAGATTTCTTTTGGAGCCTCGTTGCAGTAGGTCAGCTTATATACTGAGGCATTATGTGGTGATAATCTGTCTTCCTTTCCTCTGTTGTCAGCCTTCTTCTGCCATTACAACTATTGTGATAAATGAAGGCTCAATTTATCAACCGGGCCCTCTACTCCATTTCTTTTTCTCCCCTCGGTTTCCCCGCCCCCCCTCCCATATCCAACGTCTCTGCACGGTTCGCTTTATTTCTTCATCCGTTCCCCCCCCCCTTCATCCATCCATCCATCCATCCACCCCTCATTCCCAGTCAGCCAGATCGAGGCTTTCTTTGTGTCTGCCGGGGAAGCCTGAGATGCTGCCTGTCACCCTGAAGCTGCAGACTCCCATCCAGGCTGCCGGAGGTGGCCCGGCTGCTGTCAATCAATCCGCAGCCTGTGTAGCAGAGGGGATGGGGGTCGACAACATGATGTGGCTCCCTGCTGCTTAGAAATTCACTTATTTATTTATTTTCTAGAAGGTCTGCACAGTCAGTCGAATAGTTTTTGGCTTCTAAAATGAATTAAACTTGGTTGTGACTCTTTGAATTTAAAGCCCCAACTCTGGTGCGTCAAACGAAGCGTCTGACCAATCACAGGTGTTTGCTTCACGTTTAACGCTCTCGTTCATCTTCACCACATGCTGTGGGCAACCTGCAAGTGTACAGCGATAAACTGCAAATGCTTGTCCTTTTTTTACATGCATCCTGTTGTGGCATAATCCGTTTTGATTAAGAGTTTTGTGCATTTGAATTCAGTTTTGCTCAATTTCTAAAAAGAAAAGCTGCATAAATTCAGCAATATATATTTTGCTTCCAGATATCAATTTAGCTTTAATGCCGTAATCGCGGTCGAGTTGGTCTCCGGAGCGATGTTAATTTGATCTCTCTCCCTCCGTCTCTGCAGGACTCCGTGGTTTAACGGCTGGGGGTTCAACCTGCCTCGGGGTCAGTCTCTGCTGGATAAATGGAACCTCGTCCCTGAAGGCATCGACATCCTGATGACCCACGGACCTCCGCTCGGTGAGTCCAATTAACCAATCACAGCCCCCTCATCATCACCACATCTAATGAGGTTGTTCCTCATTATGCAAAATCCGTATGGAGTCACTGGAGGCGTCGCAGCGGGGTGTGTGTGTGTGTGTGTGTGTGTGTGTGTGTGTGTGTGTGTGTGTGTGTGTGTGTGTGTGTGTGTGTGTGTGTGTGTGTGTGTGTGTGTGTGTGTGTGTGCGCGCGCGCGCGCGCGTTTTCATATAAATCCACCAGTATCCGGAGGGAACACCTCGAACATGGTCTGATTCAATATTTGTGTTTGACTATATGAAAAAGAAAATACACATTGTTTGGTTTTCACTCCAGACTGATTCAGTTTTCCTCCTAGTTGTTTTTTCCACAGTTGTTTTTTTTTCTTTTGCGCTCTCCATCTGGCTTTATTGAGTGATTTCCTTCCCTCTCGCCTATGGAGGGTTGCTGAGCCGCTGTGGCCAGTTGATTGCATGGAAACTCGATTTTGCACCAGTGTGACAGACGCTGCAAACGATTGGAGAGAGAGACCATGGGAGAGGAGAGGAGAGCTTTGGGGCGGGGGGGGGGGGGGCTTGAAGATGTAGGGTGGCTCTCCAAAACTGAATATCAGGGTTGTACGACTGTGGAAGACATTTTCATCTGCCAGGATTTAAATTTGCCATCTCTTTCTGTGAAAAGGGCAGTAAATGAACATGTGAGGTCTTCACTTATTTACAGAGCCGAGTATCAGGAGGTGGTTCTGATCTAGAAAAGGGTTCCAATATGTAACAACTACAGATGTTTGGATCCATTCTTTCCTTCCAGATACTGATTTTGATAACTGAACTTGTGTATCGGAGCAGGAATACTGATCCTTGACCAGTGCGTTGACAACAAAAATGTATAATTATTGTTTCTTAACAGCTGTATACTCTAATATGGATTTTCTGCATAAGAGGCTACAGACGTTCAAGTTGTGAGCAGAGAGAATATCCGTTTTTTTAATTGTAAATATTTAACAAAAAGAATCACATGCTACTTCAGCATTTCGGACAAATGACGGCATGTGGCAGCCTGAATATTCTAAATAAATAAAAGAGATGATTTTTGCTTTCAATAAAATGGTTCTAACTCAAATGACAGGAATCACAACCAGGATCGTACAACAAAAACTTTCAATAAGTAAAAATGTAATCGGAATTGCGAGAGTTAAAGGAAAGCTGACAAAGGTTACCGTCTGTGTGCTTGTAAAAATGTATCTCGGACACCTTCTTGCAGTTACTGAACTTAATTGTGCCTACAGGACTTATTGGAGCTCAAATGTTCACCGTTTGTCTTCATTGATGCTCAGTGCGGTTTCTCTGCTGCCTGTTCTGTACATCCATTGCAGATGTTGGTCAGGCGTAATGGAGGAAGTTGAGGAAATGTATAAACCACAACCAAGACTCTCTCTGGGGAGCCGAGCATTTTAAAACCACTAATGTGTCTGTGTGTGCGTAGGTTTCAGAGACTGGGTTCCTAAGGAGCTGCAGCGGGTCGGCTGTGTGGAGCTGCTCAACACGGTCCAGAAGAGGGTCCGACCCAAACTTCACGCCTTCGGAGGAATACACGAAGGTACTGAGAATAAATGAAATTAACTTTTCCCACTAGTTCAGTGATTAGTGCGGTCAGACATGGTGGACACGGTGTTGTCTGACTTTGTTCTGATTGACTGTATTTTGGAAAATATATTTTTTCTAGTCTAAAAGAAAATAAAGGTGATACCTGAACATGAAAACACTTAAAAGGTCAACAGTACAAAGATAAAGAAAGAGGTCTTTTGAGCGCACAAATTAGAGATTCGGGGGAACAATTTATCAAAAACTTTGTCTCTGGCTGTAACGTTTTTGAGGTGATTGAATGTGACCTGTGTGTGTGTGTGTGTGTGTGTGTGTGTGTGTGTGTGTGTGTGTGTGTGTGTGTGTGTGTGTGTGTGTCCCCCCCCCTCAGGCTACGGGATCATGACTGACGGCTACACGTCGTTCATCAACGCGTCGACCTGCACCGTCAGCTTCCAGCCCACCAACCCCCCCATCGTGTTCGACCTGCCCAACCCTACCAGCTCCTGAGACCAGAAGACGGCGAGGGGGGGGTGGAACCATAAACTACTTTTTTTTTCTATAAATATGTCAAGTAAAAAAAAAAAAAATTTAAAAAAAGTTCTACGTGTTTCTTTGCAAACTTTCGATCTTCTCCAAGCTGTCGTTGAGATTGGGAAGATTTGGAGGCGTGGGGCGGGGGGGGTTCGTCAGGGAGGGTTAAAGGAGAATACCGGTGTTTTTTCTAGTTGTGTTAACAATGATGTGTTCCCGCTCAGATTTTAGTTTTTCTACACAGAGTCTGAAAAACAACTTCCATAAAGAAACTTTCTCCCAATTTCATCAGGCACTTAAACATTTTCACATCAAGTCAACTCAATGTAACGCTCCGCTTCCTGTGGAACAGCCACGGGAAGAAATGGAAACCAGGAAGTAATCCCTCCAAAATAAGTTGCCTTAGTGCAGAACAGAAGAAAGCGAGAGCGGCGATATGATTTTGTTTTTGTTTTTGAATCGTGACGTCATGAAGTTGTTTTCAACATAAGCTGATTTTCTTGACATCACAAATCAATATTTTTGTTCGGTTACAGGAAAACACTTAATATTTTTTTGCATTCCTGACATAATCTGTTAATGTCATGATCACAAGAAAACATGAGGAATATTAACACTTGGTCTGTCCGACCTTCCGTACATTAGTACGTCTCATTTGCTAAAGAAACAAGTGTTGAAGTCCACATACGTATGCAATGCAAAATGAATTTGGGGGGATTGCGAAGTCGTGTGACACCGGTATTCTCCTTTTCTGGGGGATTTTGTGGTTAAACAATCTTGCTCTTGATAAATATTGGTCAGATCTGTAAGATAAATGATGCTTTGTGAATTTGTACAATTTCTTTATGTTTGGTTTGCATTGGCCGGACAATGGATGCCATTGATTTATGTTGTATCATCTGATATTTTGTGTTTAGGTCTTTTTATTTGTTTTTCTCGTCGGTTCCTTTTTTCTTATTGGCTGACAGGGACGCTGCCTTAAACTAGCTTTAATGTTCTCAGCTAGAGCCCCGCTCTCTGCGAGCTCAGAGAGAAGTCCTTATTTATTACCCCGCAAAACAACACCTGACTAACGCAGGGACGGAAAGCTATCAAATTACAGCCCGAAAAATTAACTTTGTAACATCCCGCTATGGATTTCTGATCTAATTTGGAAAATGTATGTATAAAAAAAAAAATATATATTATATATTCATGTTGTAAAACATCTGTACTAAAAGTTGTGTTTGACGGAAAAAAAATAATCTGGTGCATTTTCTTTTCTGTATGCGCCTGTATAATTGACCTGTTTCTTTAATGCTCCCTTCAGGCGCTCTTCATTCGTTTCTTTAATGTTTTTTGTATCGACTCTCCCAGTCGGGTAGACATTCATTTCGGATGAGAGAGGAAAATTTGTCAGAGTCACAATCCAATAGGTGCTGGTTGTAGCCAACAACACGCCTGCCTAAACCTGGTAAAGTTGTCCTTAAAAGTGTAACTCTGATAGTATTTGTGTTTTATTGCTTTCTTTTTCTAATTTTGCACTGTGTGTAAATGCAATCTTGCTAGCACAAAAAAAAAAAATCTTGCCAATAGTTGTCTCAACTTTGCCGCTGTAAATGCTCTTTCCGTGCTCTGTTCCTCTCTCGCTCTTTATCTGATTGTATCCCTCTTCATGGAAATGTTAGTTCTCTCTTTCAGTTCATTGTGATATATTTAGCTGCCTTTATATGCAAATAAAATTGCGAGATTTTTACTTATCATGCTCAGTCTGTCGGTTTTTAATCTCTTAACAATCTTCGACAATCAAGTTCACACTAACTTTGTTTTGATCACGGAAAACGGAGCTTTTTGAAAAAGGTCCATTGCATGAACAGGGCCCCCAAAACACAACATTATTCGAAAAAACGAAACTGTTTTCTGCAAAGCTACTTGGAACAAGAAAGGTGAGCAGTTTGCCGGGACAAAGTCATTGCTTTCCAAGACTTGGCTGTGAAGTCCAGAGTCGAGTCCAATTCCACCATGAGTCTTGATGTGTCCTCCACAGAGTCTGACCCTGTTTGCGTCGCCGCTTATTGGTGTTTGGGCTCAGGTCAAAAGGCCAAGTGATATCACGATTCATCAAAGTCAATATCAAGTTACAAGTATTTTAAGAGTCATCACATCCATTTGAGTGGGAAATGCTGTTGCTGTACGATTGTGATGTGAACAGACGTATTGTAAACCTGGCTGATGTATGCATTTAGATATAATGTAAAGGAAGCCAACGGAACAGCCAAACGTGCATTACAGGTTCCCTATGTTATCTGCAAACTAATAGTACAATACTAAATTATTACTTTGACTTCCAGTAACCATGCTGCTCCTTTGACATTCGCAATGTTTTGTATATTATGTAAATATTGATGATGATGGTCATAAGCTTGGACGAAGCAGTGGACGCAGCTGCACGCGGGCTTGGCCTACTTATGAGAGCCACATGTCTAAAGTAAATAGATGTATACTCATCTGCACAGCCCAAATACCACAGCAGGAGTTTTGCCTCTACGGGCAGAACACCTGCTGGTCCTGATTGTGCCGAGGCCAGAAGAGCAACAAGCGTAAAAGTCCTGACCCACAGATGAGTATAAAGGCAGTACAGCAGCTCCCCCACGCTGAAATGTAAAACTTTTTACACACTGTTGACCTCTCCAGCTGTGAGGTTTATCCGACATTATTTGAAATGACAATGTAAGAACTGCAGCTCAAATGGTGGCTGCTGTTTATTTGTATCAACCAACGTTAACGGCTTCGTGCTGTTAATTTCTGTGCAGAAGATGATATGAAACTCACCTTTTTACTGCAGCGGTGCTGTCAACAAGGACACACCTGACAAGGTGATCAACATTTACTAAGAGCAGAGACGAAGGACTCTTTCAAACACAGTAAATGTGTCGATCAATTATTAACTATCAATAATTATTATTATGAACATTGTAATTCAAAAGACCTTCAACCGATCACAAACTCAGATCGAGAGATGACTCAACATGCTTCACTCAGCAGGAGAGAATACAAAATGTGCCTTGTGTTTCTCCTCATGCTTGTTATCTGAATATTCACAACATTTCGGCTCCAGATCGGCATCCTATCTCATCGGGTTTCATTCGTTCTCGTCACTGGCCAGCTCGGATCCTTCGTAGGCCAAAAATAAAATGGGCTTGAGTCGCGGGGCGCCTTTGCCAGCCTCTCCCACCAACCCCCTTCTCTCATCACCGCGACATCAAAGCAGCCCAACCAATTAACTATTCCCCAAAACGAGAGCAGCAAAGCATCGCCCCCCCCCCCCCACAAACACACACACACACACACATTACCATAATCCAGTCTAATCATATTAACATAGGCCACAGATGAGCAGGAGGAGACACGGCTGCTCTGGATCTGCTGCGTTCGTTCGACCTCTTAGTGTGGGTGTGAATGCATACGCGCTCTTTAATGCTCCACATGTTATATATCTATACCTCTGCACTCCTTTTAATATAAGACCTAATATACTGTACGCCTGAGTCCTTTAATATAGACCTACTCCCAATCATATATCATGCTAAACACCTCCCTGTTGACATACTAACAGCCCACATGTTAACATGCTGCAATGGCACCATTACATGCTAATCACTAGAGTGCTAACATGCTAACAAGCACGCCGCATGTCAGCACACTAATTGTACGCATGTTAACATTAGCGTGTTAGTTTGTTACAGCTGTGGAAAGGAGCTTAGTGCATTTACTCAAGTACTGTACTAAAGTAGAATTTTGACCTATTTGTACTTAACTTGAGTATTTCTATTTTATGCTACTTTATACTTCTGTTCCACTACATTTTAGAGGGAAACATTGTACTTTTAATTACTCTACATATATTTTATAACATTACTTAGTTTGCAGTTTTGGATTATTAATGCAAAGTATAAATATAATGAGATATAATGTACTACTATGGATTAAGCTACCTGGCAGAGTGTGACTTTTTTTTTTTAAAGTAGGTGTGATGAACACATTAATGTGTCAGTAATTAGAATCAAGTAATATTCATTCTAAAATGTTCTGCATAATGAGTACTTTTACTATTACATATTGTTGCTTGTACTTTTTTACTTTTATTTCGGTGGGATTACTCTCTTCATTCATCACATTACCTCAGTCTTTGTCCCCGAGTATTGCTGCGGGCAACCCAGAAAATGGGGCCAAGTATTTATGTTGTGGGCTTTTTTTGGTAATATGTCAAAATAATAGCATTAGTAAAAGATAGTAAAAGTTATAAATGTGTCATTAGTTTTCTTACCGTATTTTGGGGCGCCCCTATGGATGGATGGCACCCCTTGCATTTGCATAAACCTGAAGCCGGCTCTGCATGTGTCTGAAATCTGCTATGCTTCCTGGATTATCAGTCATTTTCTCTCTCTCTCTCTCTCTCTCTCTCTCGCTCTCTCTCTCTTTCTCCTCTGCCCTCTCTGTTAGTGATAGTCTCTCCACCAGTCACCCTTTCATGTCTCAGCGTCAGGACGTCTATAGCTCTGCCAAATTGCTGGCTGTATTAATTATCCTTGCCCAGGCAGCTGCTGGTGGTGTTGGGTGTTTGTCAGGTTAGCCTTCATCTGCTGCTGATGGATACGGGGCAAGACACGGTGAAGGCTGACGGAGTGTCAGCACCATATCAACCTGTGTGTGTGTGTGTGTGTGTGTGTGTGTGTGTGTGTGTGGCTCAATCCGATGCCAGCACTCTGCATGCAGTGTTTATATGGACCTAATTGCCCGCCAGTGGTATTATTGTAATCTGGAGCTCATTTGGCCCGAGTGCAGTTGGTATGAAATAATACTCTAAATCGGAGTCATGCAGGCTCATGCTTTCCATGCGCTCATCTCTCCCATGTGGCCTTACTTAACATCTTTTTAGAGTAAATATTGTATTGTGACAGTTTACATTATTTGGGAGTTAATTTGAGGCCCGAGCTCTTGAGAGCTTTCATGGAATCAAAATGGACACATTGGTATTTAGTATTTCCTCACAGAAATGTGAATACACTCAGAATATATACAGCCGTATGCAAATGAGAAAGGCACTGGTTCACTTTTCCTTTAGTCAGACCCAAATGTAAAACACTTGATCAAGTTGAATTAAAAGTTCATCGGCTAATTGAAGAACTTTCCTAATTATTTTTTTCATGTTAATTACTTCCCCTGCAGAGTGGATTGATGCTGTCGCTGCTCTTTACATTCTGCGCTTTAAAGGAATCTTTGAGTGCTGATTGCACTGGAGGAGAATTGACCCTCCAACCCCCGCTAACAATACGTGATTATCACAAGTGGATCGGCTGAATGACGGGAGATGATTAGTACCTTGGCTGTCTCTTTACATCACCACGGAGACAAAAGCTGCATTTGTCTAATGGTATATGATTTACCTCCTTCCTGATTTTCTCCCTTCTGTCTCCCTCTCTTCTTGCCGCTGCTCATTGATTAGTTTGTGTGGAGTTTAGAAAATTACCGTAATTACAGGTGTTTGTTCCATTATTCACTAATCAAGAACTCAAACGGACAATCAAAATCCCTCACAATCGAATACATCAGTGTAGCTTTTCCTCCACATTAACACATTTTAAAATAGTGGGCACCATTAATGTGTGTATTTGTTTTGAACAGATAATTAGATGGAAAGCTTAAGGTTTTTTTTAACATTTTATTATACCAAATTCTACCAAAATCGTCCAACATATTGTTATTTTACATCTGAATATAGTACTTAAACAATAGGTGGTGTCATAAATATAAGAAAAGATATTTTAGTGTTTTTGTTAAACCTAATCACTACTGAATCATTAACGTTGAAAGAGAAATACCACTGACTTTATAGCATATGTCACATTCTGCCCCGTTCAGTGCCGTTTGTCTACCTGTCCACCAGACGCCCTCAGACTGTTCCACCTGTCCAAGTCACCTGACTGCCACATCCGGCCACTACAACTTTCCTGTTATTCCCATCACCTTTGGGAACATTCAGCCCCGACAAAATATAGCAAAATGTTTATTTAAATAGAAGCGGCGGTGTGACGAACACCCTGTTGTGTTACAAAAGCATTGCAACTTATGGCAGCTGAGAATGCCACTGTTTATGTTCTTTGTGAAGACTTTTCGGAGCCTGATGAAATCAGTTTTAATACGTTTTTAATGCTACAAAATACGCTCAATGTTACATTCACTGCCCTTGCCAACCAGAATATAGCTGAGAGCATCCCAATCAAGTGACAGGTTATGTGGAAACTGTGGTTCCTCATTATAGTGATCCAACTTCTGCCGAGCATTTCAGAATGACATGCAATTCAGGTGAAGGATAATCCACTTCTTACCTTTGGGACTGTGATACAATCTACATAAGCTAATTGTTTTATTATGAGTATTAGGTCTTTTATTATGTTTTCATTTTCATTAGTGAATAAGAGACCTGCCTGGACTACCTGCATTTCCCTGCAGCCTCGCACTCACTTCTGTTACAGCATTAAAAGATTTGACTTTGAAAAGCATCAACACTATCTAAAATTCAAGTGTCTGGGATTTGTAGTCGCCCATCTCAACTGCTCTTTCTTGGGTCATACAACTGACGTAAGCTGATAGGACAGATGTCTGACTGATGTTCATGTTTTTGACATGACTTTGATCAGTCAAATAACCAATTGCCTGTCAAACAACTTGATTCATATTTTCAAATACCGGACACCTC